GTAGTTCCACGCAATTTTTCGTACAATTTTCTTATCGTGTGTACGAAGCATTACTGAATACAGCAATATGAAAAAGACAGCACAGAACCCCTAGAATTAGTAGTACAGCTGAACTCCAATCAGCTAAACACACTGTGCACGTATACTATACACTAATGCAGGCCATAGACGGGTCGAAAAGCAGCCAATTTTTCGACCGAAAAAAAAAAAAAAATTGGTCGATTTTCGCACCAATAATGGGTTAATTGGTCTGCCGTTTTTTTCGGGGGGTTTTGGCACATTTTTTTTTTTTTTAAATCGGTGAAGTTGAAAAACAAAAAAAAAAAAAAAAAAAATCGGCCGATTTTCCCAGCAATGATGGGCAAATTGGCCGATCTTTTTACCGATAAAAAAATCTGCGCATGAGCCGTGGCCTGCAAGAAGAAGTAAAAGAAGACAAAGACATGAAAAAGTATTGCGGTTGCAACAATGTATCTATTTGTATCCGAATAAAAACCTCTGTATCCGAAATGGATACAAATGGATACATTGTTGCAACCGCAATACTTTTTCATCCTCTGGAACTAAACATAAAACATCTGTATCCGAAATGGATACAAATGGATACATTGTTGCAACCGCAATACTTTTTTACATCCTCTGGAACTCACTACCCCAATCCATCAGACTGTCACCTACCCTCCTCACCTTTAGGTGCACCCATGTCAAATATAATAGCGGAGCTCTCTGCAGGGACAGAAGTAATTAAATGCTGGTCGTAGATGGGACGAAAATCGGTCGATTTCTTTTACCATTGGTGGTAACATCGGCCTATTGAATGACCGATTTTTCTTTTTTTTAAAAAATAAAATGGCCGGTTTTCGACCCGTCTATGGCCTGCATTAGGCTAAGTTCACACCTATGCAGTTTGTGTTTGATCCGATTCTGCATTGCGTTTTGCGGTGCGTTTTGCGTTTTTTTGCATGTGTTTTTGACACTTTTTGGGTTTTTTTCTTGTTGCTAGGCAGATTTAAAACGCATCAAAAACGTGGCATAAATGCATTACTTGCCTTTCTGTAGCTATTCAATTGAAGTCTATAGAACCAAAAAATGCACCGGGTGAAAACGCTGAAATGTGAACGTGTCCCATAGGAAATCATGTTAAATGGACTGTAGTGCGTTTCTGCAAAACTCTGCGGAAAACGCTTAGATGTGAACGTAGGGTAAGTAGTTGGCACTTGCACCTGGCAGCACTAGGGTCATCGGTTCAAATCTCAACCATGGCACCATCTGCCTGGAGTTTGCATGTTCTCCCTGTGACTGTGTGGGTTTCCTCAGGGTACTCCGGTTTCCTCTCACACTCCAAAGACATGCTGGTAGGTTAATTGGCTCCTGTCTAAATTGGTCTTGTATGTGTATGAATGTGAGTTAGGGACCTTAGATTGTAAGCTCCTTGAGGGCAGGGACTGAAGTGAATGTACAGTACATATATGTAGAGCGCTGCACAAATTGTTGGTGCTATATAAGTATCTGTAATAAATAAATGTACATGAACTGTTTAACCTGCCAAAAGGTATTGTAGTCCTATTCAGCTTGTCTTTCAGATAGCACAGACAGGCCTGGTGGCCTCATCTCTTCTCAAAGCAGTATAACCTGCTCACAAACCAGCCCTTAAAGTGATATTAAAGACATTTTTTAAAAAAAAACAAAATATGTCATACTTACCTGCTCTGTGCAGTGGTTGCGCACAGAGCAGCCCCAATCCTCTTCTCAGGTCCCCCACCGGTGTTCCAGGCCCCTTTCCCCTGCCTAGTGTCCCCAGAGCAAGCAGCTTGCTATGGGGGCACCCAAGCCATGACCATTTACATACAGATCAGCAGCTCAGACCTGCCCTCTCTCTCTCCTCACTGGCTCACTGAAGCCAGCTGCTGTCTCAGCTAATGAGGAAGGAGAGTCCTTGGAGAGCCGGGACTCTCATGCATATTGCTGGATCATGATAGATCTCAGGTAAGTATTAGGGGGCTGGGGGAGCTGCTGCACACAGGTGGTTGTTTACCTTCATGCATAGAATGCAAGAAGGTAAAAAAAAAAAACCTTGAGCCCTTACAACCACTTTAGCTTGTGACTAAACAGTGAATTAAAGCTGACTTTCACGCAAAAATAAATACACAGCTTTCTAATCCTCCCCCTTTTCATTTTTTTTTTTTTTTTTTTTTTTTTAAAGCTGACTTAAATTTTTTTTTCTTTTTAACTTTTGTTTTTCAGTTGGCCCCCACCCATGGCTCCCATTCTTGCATAGACAAGAATGACATATCACTTGCCTCCTGTGATACCCAGCATCACATATCCCAGGAGGCATTACTTTCTATTCATGTAAACAGAGGCAACATTCTCATTGGGAGGGTGAAGTCCCTCTGCAAGGGCTTGTTTACAACATATACAGCTGAATGCGTTTTTAAGTACAGTATGAATGCAAATGCAAGAAAAATAAATAGATTCAAGGAGCCTAGTTTACACCACTGCAATGCTTTCATGTGCATTTAGAAAAAGTACAGCATGCTGTATTTGTTTTCTTCTTGCATCAGAGAGCAAGTGAAGTCATTGCCAACGCATGGAGACGCGCAAGTGGAACTGTGAACTGAACGCGAAGATTGAGCGAAAAAGCTCTTAGGCATTGTTCACGGGAATGGTAAAAACAAGCGGTTAAGTTGCGCCCCCCATGAGAGACCTCCAATAAAAGAACATGCAGACACTCAGAGCATTCAGCAGGCAGTACAACCTCAAAAACACATCAAGTTCAGGAGAACGTGGATGTACTGTAACCCCGCTACAGCAACTGCATGGAAAATAGATCGCCTGTCAATCTCCGTAGATCACTTTTCAGAAGTCAGCTGCAAGTGTTAACGAGCCCTAAGGCTAGGTTCACCACTCTGTTTTTTGCGATTGATGCGATTTTCCGGCGCGTTTTGCGATTGAAGTGTTTTGCTTTTTTTGCCAATAGGAAAGTATTGACTTTGGATGGGTGCAAGTTTGATGTGACCTGAATGCGACTTTGGATGGGTGCGACTTGGATACTACTTTGATGTGACTCTTGATGGGTGCCACTTGAATGTGACTTGGATGCTACTTGAGCATCAGAGCATGTAAAGTCGCCTCAAAATTGCACTACATGAACAGAACTGTCATACTTTTCTATTAGCAAAAAAAAAAAAAAAAAAAGTCACTTCAAAGTCGCACCCATCTAAAGTCACATCAAAGTAAAAAAAAAAAAATGCAAAAAACACATACAAAATGTACTACATGCATTTCTACCGCGTGTCCATTGAAGTCTATTGTGTTGTGTTTAAAAAAAGGCCCTGATCCTTTTAAAAAATGCAGCAGCTAAAAAACACATAGATGTGAAAATGTCCCATAGAAACCCATGTTAAATGGACTGTAGTGCATTTCTGCAGAATGCAAAAGGTGTGAACCAGGCCTAAGTTATCATTTTGCTCTCTCCTGCTGTGAAAATCTTCATATTGTGTACTGAAAACTCAGTGCAAACCAATAGAGCTCCGTCTGCTTCATAGAGATGCCCATCTAACTCCTGATCTGCTGTACAGGGAATCAAAGGAGCTGATATCAGGACTTTAGGTCTTAGTGCAAGTTCTACATAATATTACAATAAGTACAAACTCTATATTGCCAAAAGTATTGGGACGCCTGGTTTTACATGCACTTGAACTTTAATGGCATCCCAGTCTTAGTCCGTAGGGTTCAATATTGAGTTGGTCCACCCTTTGCAGCTATAACAGCTTCAACTCTTCTGGGAAGGCTGTCCACAAGGTTTAGGAGTGTGTCTATGGGAATGTTTGACCATTCTTCCAGAAGAGAATTTGTGATGTCAGGGCACTGATGTTGGACGAGAAGGCCTGGCTTACAGTCTCACCTCTAATTTATCCCAAAGTTGTTCTATCAGGTTGAGGTCAGGACTCTGTGCAGGCCAGTCAAGTTCCTCCACCCCAAAATCACTCATACAGGTCTTTATGGACCTTTCTTTGTGCACTGGTGTGCAGTCATGTTGGCACAGGAAGGGGCCCATCCCCAAACTGTTCCCACAAAGTTGGGAGCATGAAATTGTCTAAAATGTCTTGATATGCTGACGCCTTAACAGTTCCCTTCACTGGAACTAACGGGGCCAAGCCCAACCCCTGAAAAACAACCCCACACCATAATCCCCCTTCACCAAACTTTACACTTGGCACAATGCAGTCAGGCAAGTACCATCAAAATTCAAAGTGCAGCGCTTAAGGTAAGTTCCAATGAATAAAAATATATAAAAGTTCAACGAATAGCAATAGATCCTTATGAGGCAGGTATCTCAGTACTTCAAATGCTGGTATAAACAGCCGATCAAAATAGCAGAAGTGCGCACTCACCGGAAGCCGGAAGCGCATATAGCAATAAATGATAGGTGTTGGGCCGCCTCTCTGATCATCGAGCCTTGGAGAGTAGTGAGATTCTGCCTGGTCCAGAGGTCCCCCTTAAGATGGACAGGTATTCTGCTTTGGAAAGGGCTCCCTTCTCTGGATACTGGATATCACAGGGATTTCCTGCAGATGTAATAGTTCGCATAGGAGCTCAAAGAACAGGTGCCCAATGGTGTAGTATTTAAGGAAAAATTTATTGAAGCATAAAACATAGGGCAGTATGCATCATATATTAGTTACAAAAAATTGCAGTACTGACCCCTTTAAAGATGGCCGCTGAGCCTCCTCGTGGCTCTCAGCAGCATAAAAACGTCACGTTCTGTACAGCTCCTCCTTCCTAAGGCCTTTTGTGCTAAAAGCACATCATCAGAGTGGAGGCTGGAGTCAGGCAAGTACTGTTCTGCTGGAAATCACCATACCCAGACACGTCCATCGGATTGGCAGACAGAGAAGCGTGATTCATCACTCCAGGGAACACATCTCCACTGCTCTAGTGTCCAGTGGCGGCATGCTTTACACCACTGCATCCGACGCTTTGCATTGCACTTGGTGATGTAAGGCTTGGATGCAGCTGTTCACCCATGGAAACCCATTCTATGAAGCTCTCTATGAACTGTTGTTGTGCTAATTGCAGCCGAATTGCACTTCAGCATGCGCTGACCCCGCTCTGTCATTTTACATGGCCTACCACTTCGTGGCTGAGTTGCTGTTGATCCCAGTTGCTTCCACTTTGTTATAATACCACTATCAGTTGACCGTGGAATATTTAGTAGCAAGGAAATGTCACGGATGGACTTATTGCACAGGTGGCAACCTATCACAGTACCACGCTTCAATTCATTGAGCTCCTGAGAGCGACCCATTTTTTCACAAAATGTTTGTAGAAGCAGTCTGCATGCCTAGGTGCTTGATTTTATACACTTGTGGCCATGGAGGTGCTAGGAACACCAGAATCCAATGATTTGAAGGGGTGTCCCAATACTTTTGGCAATATAGCGTTTATTATATGGTGTTCTTATATTCACCTAGAATTCAGCTGTAAGGCATACAGTATATACATATTTTTCTTGATGCACTAGAGTTAGTAAATCACCTTCAGGAATGAGCAGAGCATGTGAACTCTGTAGGGAGGAGGGTTCTTTCCTTAGATCTCTTTTGTCCCATGCTGCCTTTTTTAGTTATATTTACAGGAACATGCCAGCAGTCTTTCAACCTCTCTGTTCAGCTCACATCTATACTCTTCCTTAAAGTACACACACTGCGTGATAACCGTTACCGTAATCCCACTGCAATTTGTCAGACAGCGCACAGACCAGAAGGCAGCTCACTTCTATCAGATCAGGCAATGATATTATACTAAAGCCTGTAAACTTCTTTCCCTCTCTCCCAATAATGGAATGGAGGTATATTGTAGCCGGGAACAGAGCTCCTCTTATTATCTGGCACATTTCGCTAAACAAAGAAAGTAGCCAAGCGGCCTTATTTAGCCAGGAAACTCTGCTGATCTGCTCACTGTACAGTGCAAAAACTTAATGGCTGACTGACTACTACTAGGAAAAATATTAAACGCACATATTTTTGCAGAAAAAAAAAATGTGCATTTATTATTTTTTTCTTGCAGGAGCCTGGAAAGTATTGCACCCATGATCAGTGGATCAGGGGTGCAAAATCAGGCTCTTGCAGACAAAGCCCTGTAGCTTTCAGCCCATAGATCCAATACAAGCTGACTGTTTAAAAGCTGCAGGGCTAGTGGATGAACTACAAGAGCACTCATCAGAGCCCTGGAAACTGTGAATGAATGATTTGGCAGTGTAGGCAGAGCCCCATATGGCTGTGCTGATTTTAAATTGTGATAGCAGGTGCGGGGAGAAGATCCTCGGCCCACTGTCACAATGAGGGGGAGGAGGCGGCAGCAGCTGGAACATGCTACATACTGCACCCTAGAGATATTGGTGAAAAATGTTCTGATCCTTTAAATCAATTTCCCAATTTTCTAGTTGATCTCAAACCCTGTCTGTTTTACACTGTAAACTAAAGGTATCCAAGACTAATATAATATACCGTATTTTTCACTCTATAAGATGCACCTGGGACTTAGAGGAGGAAAACAAGAAGAAAAATTCTGAACCAATGGACTGTAGTACAGGAAATGACCAGAGACCGCAGACAGTACAGGAGATGACCAGAGACCGCGGACACAGTACAGGAGATGACCAGAGACTGCAGTCATACTATAAGATGACCAGAGACAGCGGACACAGTACAGGAGATGACCAGAGACTGCAGTCATACTATAAGATGACCAGAGACTGCAGTCATACTATAAGATGACCAGAGACTGCAGTCATACTATAAGATGACCAGAGACAGCGGACGTAGCACAGGGGATGACCAGAGACAGCGGACGTAGCACAGGGGATGACCAGAGACAGAGGACGTAGCACAGGGGATGACCAGAGACAGCGACGTAGCACAGGGGATGACCAGAGACAGCGGACGTAGCACAGGGGATGACCAGAGACAGCGGACGTAGCACAGGGATGACCAGAGACAGCGGACGTAGCACAGGGGATGACCAGAGACAGCGGACGTAGCACAGGGGATGACCAGAGACAGCGGACGTAGCACACGTAGCACAGGGGATGACCAGAGACAGCGGACGTAGCACAGGGGATGACCAGAGACAGCGGACGTAGCACAGGGGATGACCAGAGACAGCGGACGTAGCACAGGGGATGACCAGAGACAGCGGACGTAGCACAGGGGATGACCAGAGACAGCGGACATAGCACAGGGGATGACCAGAGACAGCGGACATAGCACAGGGGATGACCAGAGACAGCGGACATAGCACAGGGGATGACCAGAGACAGCGGACATAGCACAGGGGATGACCAGAGACAGCGGACATAGCACAGGGGATGACCAGAGACAGCGGACATAGCACAGGGGATGACCAGAGACAGCGGACATAGCACAGGGATGACCAGAGACAGCGGACATAGCACAGGGGATGACCAGAGACAGCGGACATAGCACAGGGGATGACCAGAGACAGCGGACATAGCACAGGGGATGACCAGAGACAGCGGACATAGCACAGGGGATGACCAGAGACAGCGGACATAGCACAGGGGATGACCAGAGACAGCGGACATAGCACAGGGGATGACCAGAGACAGCGGACATAGCACAGGGGATGACCAGAGACTGCGGACGTACTACAGGGGATGACCAGAGACTGCGGACGTACTACAGGGGATGACCAGAGACTGCGGACATAGCACAGGGGATGACCAGAGACTGCGGACGTAGCACAGGGGATGACCAGAGACTGCGGACGTAGCACAGGGGATGACCAGACCAGAGACAGCGGACATAGCACAGGGGATGACCAGAGACAGCGGACATAGCACAGGGGATGACCAGAGACAGCGGACATAGCACAGGGGATGACCAGAGACAGCGGACATAGCACAGGGGATGACCAGAGACAGCGGACATAGCACAGGGGATGACCAGAGACAGCGGACATAGCACAGGGGATGACCAGAGACTGCGGACATAGCACAGGGGATGACCAGAGACAGCGGACATAGCACAGGGGATGACCAGAGACAGCGGACGTACTACAGGGGATGACCAGAGACAGCGGACATAGCACAGGGGATGACCAGAGACTGCGGACGTACTACAGGGGATGACCAGAGACTGCGGACGTAGCACAGGGGATGACCAGAGACAGCGGACATAGCACAGGGGATGACCAGAGACAGCGGACATAGCACAGGGGATGACCAGAGACAGCGGACATAGCACAGGGGATGACCAGAGACAGCGGACATAGCACAGGGGATGACCAGAGACAGCGGACATAGCACAGGGGATGACCAGAGACAGCGGACATAGCACAGGGGATGACCAGAGACAGCGGACATAGCACAGGGGATGACCAGAGACAGCGGACATAGCACAGGGGATGACCAGAGACAGCGGACGTACTACAGGGGATGACCAGAGACAGCGGACATAGCACAGGGGATGACCAGAGACTGCGGACGTACTACAGGGGATGACCAGAGACTGCGGACATACTACAGGGGATGACCAGAGACTGCGGATGTACAGTTGTGCTCAAATGTTTGCATACCCTGGAGGATGATAATCATATGAAGCCATTTATTATCAAATAGTTGTTTGACTCCTTTTTAACTGATAATGATAACAGAAATCACCCAAATGGCCATGATCAAAAGTTTACATACCCTGGAATGTTTGGCCTTGGTACAGACACACAAGGTGACGCACAGGGGTTAAAATGCCTATTAGAGGTTAATGTCCCACATCTGCTGCTTTTTAAATTGCAATTAGTGTCAGTGTATAAATAGTCAATAAGTTTATCTGTTACATGGAAGCACTGACTAGGCTAGATACTGAGCCATGGGGATCATAAAAGTGCTGTCAAAAGTCCTGCGTAACAAGGTAATGGAACTTTATAAAGATGGAAAGGACATAAAAAGATGTCCAAAGCCTTGAATATGCCAATCATATTGTTATTATACTGTTAAATCACCTATTAAGAAGTGGAAAGTTCGGGGATCTCTTTATACCAAGCTAAGGTCAGGTAGAACAAGAAAGATTGCAGCCAGAACTGACAGAAGAATTGTCTGGGATTCAAAGAAAAACCCACAGGCAACCTCAAAAGAAAAACAGGCTGCTTAAATTGCAATTAGTGTCAGTGTATAAATAGTCAATGAGTTTGTTAGCTCTTATGTGGAAGAACTGACCAGGATAGATACTGAGCCATAGGGATCGGAAAAGAACTGTCAAAAGTCCTGCATAACAAGGTAATGGAACTTTATAAAGATGGAAAAAGGACATAAAAAGATGTCCAAAGCCTTGAATATGCTAATCAGTACTGTTAAATCACCTATTAAGAAGTAGAAAGTTCGGGGATCTCTTGATACTAAGCCAAGGTCAGGCAGACCAAGAAAGATTGCAGCCATATCTGACAGGAGAATTGTTTGGGGTACAAAGGGAAACCTATAAGTAACCACAAGAAAAATACAAGGTGCAGTAAAAGCTTCTTTCTGGCACCTCGACTAAACAGCTCATTTTTGTTCAAGTATCACTGTATTGTACTCCTTAAAAACAACCACACCAGCTTTTCCAGAGCAGCCTGTTTTTCTTTTGAGGTTGCCTGTGGGTTTTTCTTTGAATCCCAGACAATTCTTCTGTCAGTTATGGCTGCAATCTTTCTTGGTCTACCTGACCTTAGCTTGGTATAAAGAGATCCCCGAACTTTCCACTTCTTAATAGGTGATTTAACAGTATAATAACAATATGATTGGCATATTCAAGGCTTTGGACATCTTTTTATGTCCTTTCCATCTTTATAAAGTTCCATTACCTTGTTACGCAGGACTTTTGACAGTTCTTTTCTGATCCCCATGGCTCAGTATCTAGCCTAGTCAGTGCTTCCATGTAACAGATAAACTTATTGACTATTTATACACTGACACTAATTGCAATTAAAAAAGCCACAGATGTGGGACATTAACCTCTAATAGGCATTTTAACCCGTGTGTGTCACCTTGTGTGTCTGTACCAAGGCCAAACATTCCAGGGGAGGGAAACTTTTGATCATGGCCATTTGGGTGATTTCTGTTATCATTATGATTTAAAAAGGAGCCAAACAACTATTTGATAATAAATGGATTCATATGGTCATCATCCTTCAATAAAAGAGCATTTTTTGGCATGATCAGTCATATTTTCAATATCAACGCCAAAATTTCACAATTTCTGCGATCAGGTAGGACTGAGGAGCAGGTTCTGCTGCACAGAAAAGCCGAGCAGCTGGCCCAATATTCTAACACGGCGGCAATACTGGGCTG